GCTCAGGAAGGGTTCAGGTTTTTTTAAAATGTGGTTCCCAAGGGATTAAAACCCCACCCCGATTTGCAAACCCCGGGGGGGGGGGGGGGGGGGTAGGGATATTAAATCCCCATCCCCTGGTTCGCGGTTCCCACACATCAAGCACGATGAAGCCCAGCAGGTTGTGCTGAAACCCCACCTTCCCGGCCACGGAACCAAAATCGGACCGACGGGTAAGGCTTGTACGTACCTAGAGCAACCTACGGTCGAGTTTTCGGAGCGTAGACTGTTGGGCAACACGTTCAACCCCAAGCTTTACTCCGACATTTCGCGGAAGCTTACTCCGGCATTTCCCGAGCTGTGTGTATGGCTCCCTTCCCTCGCCAGTGCTGTCTTGTCCCTACTAGCGGTGTTGCGTGTTTAGCTGACTGCTTCCTCTTGTTTCTCCTGATTTGGACCGAGCAACTGTTGCGTTGTGTGTGTTTCCTTTACCTCTCGTCCAACTCCCGGGGACGAGGGCAAACATATCCGATGAATTTGAGGACAAATGCCTGTCAAGCACGGCTATCTGTCGTCGGAGCGCGACGAAACCGGTGTGACGGAAGAGTGTCCTATTTAGCTTCCTCCTCACAACCCAGCGGGTCGTCGATCGGCGCTCCATAGACCTCGTTCTCATCTAATAAAGGCGATAGTTTATTGACGTGCCGTTCCCCGTGGGGTGTTGCGGAAGGGTGGCTCTACAGCGCGATGGTTGAAAGAACCCGATATTTTAGAGCCTTTTTTTCCCTCCTGAGGATGAAGGGGGAAATATCACACTTCGCTCTCCGCTGCTCGTTACAACAGCATTCACTCTTCAAGGACGAAATATGTCTATTCGTGCGCCAAGCTAGCGCGGGTTAATTGTGAATGGTTCTACCAACGCGTGAGAGAGATATCAACTCGGTTCATCGGCGTAACGAGTCGTTGCCACGTGAGAGCCACAGGCGGCATAGAGTATTGGGCGTCAGCAAAGCGTAGATACCCGTGCCACCGGTGCCCTTAGATCCTCCACGCACAGATAAGATTGTGGCGTAGAGGCGGGGTCTCCCCGGTGGTCTAGTGGGCAACGTCGTAAACCTGCTAGCAGCAGGTTGGTGGGTTCGACTGTCCCCCGGGCAGTGATCATTTTGCCATTCTGTGGTGGAAATCGAGTTTTCACAGTGCTTGCGAGAAGGATTGGACCGCTGAATTGTTCTCGCGTTAGACATGGCAGGCAAGGGGCGGGGGCAATAAGATCAACGGAAATTCCCTGCGTGTGATTCCTCTCTATGTGGCTCAGGCTGATGCACGCCAAATGTTAATGTTTGGCGAAATGTGTGTAGTCTAGACTTGCGCCAGAGAGTAATAGGGCGAAAACACAACACACACGAACACGGCACAACAAGCGTTCGGTGACACACATCTCTGAGCTAGTAGAAGAGGGAGCGGAGCGGGCCCGAGAGAAGATAGGAAGCACTCTGCGCGCGCGTGTTATTGTATGTGTGGCTGCGATAGAGCCTCCAAAGGGTTGCATGGAGAACATAAACACACCACACCCCGCAAATCTGCCGCCACGTGCGGCAAGAGGCGCGCGCGCCCCCGCTCAGGCATGGTGGCGATTTCTCTCATGATTTCGAGTGGAATTCACCCGCTCGCCCTCACTTCCTCCTCTGCTGTTTTCGAATCTGCCCCTCTCGCTCGTGGACGGCGACAGGAAAACGTGTACCCTAAGGGCCCATCGGTGCAGTTCTATAAGCTTTACCTGGACTCCAACGTTCGTCGCCAATTGATCGAGTACGATGCCTTGGCCATCATCGAGTGGGATGTTATTGTCGCCCACGACACGAGGTAAGTAAACCAAGTTTCGTCTTGTTTTTTTGTTGTCCAACTGGTGGTGGTGCTGCTGTTGTTGCTGCTGCTGCCGCCGCCGCTGCACAATGCGAAGCAGCGGCCGCGCCTGAAATAATGTTCACCAGAGCCGACCGAGGTGGTCCCGTGGCTTGAGTGCAAGACGAGTGCGTGCGGTAACGATTTCACGGGGCCGGTGCGTGTGGGTTTCCGAGGCGTGTCGCGTCATCCTTGATGACCGACCCCCCCCCCCCCCCCCCCTCGCCCCGCAACCTCCATGTCAAAAATGACACGAAATGCCAGTTTTTTATCTATTATTGAACATCGTTGTCTGTTGGATTTGTGGCACCACTGGTGCTGTTTTTGGTTTTCGTCCCGAAATCTGATATCAGCTTTGAGAAGCTCTACGCCGCGGCGTTCGGAGGGGTGGAGCCCTTCTGGATCAAGGGGAGCACCCTGGAGGGCGTCAACTTTCACGAGACTGTCGTTCTTGCGGAGAGCCGGCACGTGCTGGGGCACATCAACGGCAACGCCATCTACAACAACACCGACCCGGCCTTCGTCGAGTTCGTCAACTACACGCTCACGCGCTGGGAGTACACCCAGTCGTATGACGTGGCTCTGTGGGCCACGATCTCGGACTTCCCATACAGCTGGCCCTTGTGGCAACGCTACTCGCGAAAATTTGTGGCGATTGATCTGGTAAGCCGAGAGCCTGGTTCATCCTTCCGCTACCAGTTGTAGGCCAACCCCCCCCGTCAGAGCGGCTCAGTTGCACCCGTCAATGGGGTGTATCAACAACGCAGCGCCCCCGTGTGTTGGAGAACGTATGCGCTGTACGCCCACACTTTTTCTATAATACCTCACTCGCTGATTTGCTGTGGCGCACGCGCTCGTCGTTGTATCCCAGCCACACCCGCCGGCCCGTTTCCCCCCTCAGCTTGTCCTCCGTCCCTGCCCGCGCCGTTCCCCGTCGCGCCTGCGCCGCCGCACAGATTGCAAACGTTGGGTTTCAGGACATGGACCAGCAGGCGGTGCTGAAGGCGGTGGCGAGCGACACGCTCTTCATCCACGGCAGCCTGACGGGGGGGGGCGGGTCGATGTTCCACGCGAGCGGCGCGAAGGCGGATTCCTCGCCGGCGTTCCGGTTCCTTGGCAAGAACCGGCCGGGGGAAAGGTGCACGGCATCCTGCGGGGGGGAGGCGCCGCCGTCCAGCGGCGGCGGCGCGGGGGCGCTGGGCACCGTCTGCGACCGATCGTGCTACTCCGGTGGTGAGCTCGGGGCGCGGTTCGGCGGCTACCTCTGCGGGGCAGGGGATGCCAAGGAGTACGGCTCCCACTGCCGGACGTGCTTCACCGACCTGGAGGAGGCGCAGGCGGCGGAGGAGCGGCTGGCCGAGGAGGAGCAAGCGGCAATGCGGGGGAGAAGCTTCAAGATGCCCGGGGACAAGGAGAAGGGCAGGAGGGTTCTTAGGGCGGACGACGGGCCGGAGGGGGCCGCCGGATGGGTCGAGGGGGAAGGGGGGGGGGATAGCCGGGCGGTGTTGAGGGGTAGCAGAGGCGGGGGCGCGGGAGTGACACGGCGGACGGATGCCGTCTACGGCGGCACCGACGACGAGATAGTCGAGAGGAGGCGGCACGTGATCATGTGCGACACGCTGATGCCACCGCCCCCTGCCACGGGCTGCAGCAACAAGTGCCAGATGAAGACGGACACGGTGGGTGACGTGGATTGATTTCGGTCGGGGCCGAGAGAGTTGGTTCCCGTGAATGTCATGTCATGGCGTGCTAGGATAAGATGCCTTGGGCGCAAGACTGTTGCCGGTCCTCCCCGGCCCCCTCCTGAGTACCGATGATCTTCCTGCTTTCCAAAGCGTTTGTCTGCGTGCCGACCAAGCTGTTTGCCGCAGCTGAGGTGCCCCGAGGAAAACCACGAACCAAGACATGACCTACCTCATTTGTTCGCCGGCAGTGTCGACTCGGAGTAGTAAGAAGAACCGTGCGTTGCCCTGGAGCCTCTTGCTTTTTTCTCTGTCTCTCTCTCTTTTTCTCGCGCATGTACACGTGTCTCGCTGCCACGAACAGCATCGGTCCATGTCTGGAGAGAGGGTACGCCTTGACGCTTGCTTGACCGAGCAACTCAACCCCCGACCTCCCGTACTCCCCCCCCCCCCCCCCCCCCCCCCCTGTTGCTCTTTTCCGGTGAGCTAAACGTGATTTCGCTCCGA